GGGCTTCTTTAGAATTGGGGTTACAGTTGCATGTTTGAAGGGCAATGGAAATATACCAGAGGAGAGAGAGAGATTGAGAATTTTAGTGAGAGGTGGAGAAAGAGAAGAAGACGGAGTATGGATGAGATGCAAGGGAATTGGATCTAGGGAGCAGGTGGTGGGGCGGGAGGACCGGAGCAGAGCAGAAACCTCTTCCAATGTAGCGGGTGCGAATGAACATAGAACAGCAGCGGGAGTGAAGTTAGGGGAAGTATTGTAAGGGGAAGAAGATGAGAGATCTCTTCTCTGATTCTAGAGATCTTGTCAGTGAAGTGAGTTGCAAAGTCTGAGGCGGTCAAGTTAGTAGGTGGAGGGGGAATAGCAGGGCGAACAAGAGAGTTAAATGTGCGAAATAGTCATTTGAGTTCATGGGAGAGTGTGGTTATGAGGGTATTGAAGTAATTAACTTTTGCAGAGGAAAGAGCCAAGCTGTATGAGCTCAGCATAAATTTATAGTGGAGAAAGTCAGATGCACAGTGAGACTTTCTCCAACAGCATTCAGCAGTTCTGGAGCATTTTTTGAGGTATCGAGTGAGCTTGGTGTGCCAGGGTTGTTGTTGGGGGGGCCTGCGGTGTTTAAATGTACAAGGTGCCATGATGTCTAGTTGAGAGGAGAGGGTGGAATTGTAGAAGGAGGTTGCAGAGATAGGTAAAAGGAGAGTTTGGAGATTAGTGGAGACATGCTCTAGGTCAAGACATTTTAGGTTTCTGTGAGAGTGATGTTCAGACGGTGCCCTCAGACGGTGCCCTCATTGATACATGCACTGATATACACTCACTGACAGATACACAGTCATTGGCACATACATACAGTCATTGGCACACACTGTTTAACCAACACACACTTTGACTGACAGGCACACACTCTCAGATACGCATAATATGACATACACACACTGACACACACTCACAGGCAAACAAGGCACAGGAACACGAGGCAAACAAGGCATTTGTCTGGGAGCTTGGGGTGGCATTTTTCTGGCGCCCCCCCAAAAGTGCCGCCCCTTAGGAAAATGCCTTGTTTGCCTTGTGGTAAATACATCCCTGGTCAGAAGTGCGATGAATATGGCTTACAGCTCATGAAAAACCCAAATCCACAATCTCAGTAAATTAGAATATTACATGCAATCAATAAAACAAGGAGTGTACGTAGAACAATATCGGACCTCTGAAAAGTATAAGCATGCATATTGGTTCAGTACTTGGTTTGGGCCCCTTTTGCAGCAATTACTGCCTCAATAGGGTGTGGCATGGAAGCTATCAGCCTGTGGCACTGCTAAGGTGTTATGGGAGACCAAGCTGTTTCAATAGCGGCCTTCTGCTCTTCTGCATTATTCGGTCTCATGTCTCTCATCTTTCTCTTGGCAATGCCCAATAGATTCTCTATGGGGTTCAGGTCAGGCGAGTTTGCTGGCCAATCAAGCACAGTAATCCCACGGTCATTGAACCAGGCTTTGGTGCTTTTGGCAGTGTGGGTAGGTGCCAAGTCCTGCTGGCAAATGAAGTCAGCATCCCCATAAAGCTTGTCTGCGAAAGGAAGCATGAAGTGCTCCAAAATCTTCTGGTAGACGGCTGCGTTGACCATGGACTTAATGAAGCACAGTGGACCAACACCAGCAGATGACATGGCTCCCCAAATCAACACAGACTGTGGAAACTTCACACAGGACTTCAAGCATCTTGCAGGGTGTGCCTTTCCATTCTTCCTCCAGATTCTGGGTCCTTGGTTTCCAAATGAGATGCAAAAGTTGCTCTCATCAGAAACGAGGACTTTGGACCACTGAACAACAGACTAGATCTGTTTTTCTTTAGCCCAGGTAAGACGCTTCTGACGTTGTTTGTTGTTCAGGAGCGGCTTGACAAGAGGAGTACAACTGTCTGAAACCCATGTCCAGGATCTGTTTGTGTGTGGTGGCTCAGTCCACTCCTTGTGAAAGATCCCAACAGATTTGAATGGCCTTTTCCTGACAATCCTGTCCAGGCTGCGGTCATCCCTGCTGCTTGTGCACCTTTTTCTTCCGCACTTTTACCTTCTATGTAACTTTCTATTAATGTGCTTTGATACAGCAATTTGGGAACATCCAACTTCCTTTGCAATTACCTTTTGAGGCTTGGTTTTCTGCACAACTGTCAGGTCAGCAGTCTTCCCCATGATTGTGATTCCTACTGAACCAGACTGAGAGACCATTTAAAGGCTCAGAAACCCTTTGCAGGTGTTATGGCTTACTTAGCTGATTAGCGTAGGATACTGTGAGCCTAGAATATTGCACCTTTTCACAATATTCTAATTTACTGAGATTGTGGATTTGGGTTTTTCATGAGCTGTAAGCCATATTCATCGCACTTATGGCAAATCACGGCTTGAACTATCTTGCTTTGCATGGAATGCGTCTATCTCATATATTAGTTTCCCCTTTTACGTTGCATTACTGAAATAAATGAACGTTTGCACGATATTCTAATTTTTCGAGTATCACCTGTATGGTCTGTCTTTTTTGTAATGATACATATTTACATATTTAAGATGTTTTAATGTATGTTAAAGTTATATACTATTCTTTGTTTGATTTAAATTATATTTATACAATGAAAATAAAATGGAAAAAAAAACACATTAAAGCAAAAAAATTTTTTAAAAAAAAATATAACCTGAAAGGATTCATACTCACTGGCTGGCTGAGAATCACCTGTGTTTGATGAAATTATTATCGGAGCAAGTTGCCCCATGTGTATTTGGAGTAGGAAAGCAAATTATAAATGTTTCAGGCGAATTACCCTTTAGTTATGTACAAAGCAGTTATTGTACTTTCATAAAGAATTACCAGAAAACATTTATGTCACACAATGCGATTCCAAATATATGTGGAGTGAAACTAGTCCATCCTTAATATGCTATTAGCACTTTTAGCTATTTGTCCTTTCTTCATAGGGTAAATCGCATTGTAAGAATCAAACAGTCCTACTGCCAATAACTATATTTGGTAGCATACAGGTAATCATATTGTTCAGGTACCACATTCACATAGTCTATTTTTCATTTTGAATTGTTGTGTTTTCTTTCTGGCTGGCTGCTGTGGCTTACAGGTTGTGGCAGTGGCTGGTTGGCCCTCGGCGGTTGGCTGGAAGGCTGGCAGCGGTGGCCAGCTGGCAGACTGCTGTGACTTGATGGCAGGCTGGCTAGATGGCTGCAGTGACTGGCTGGCTGGCAGGCTTCTTTCTTCCCCAGCAGGCGTCTGTTTCAACCTCCAATCTCTTTGTGCGTCTCTTTTATTCTTCCCCTCTGTGTGTCTCCTCCCCCCAGCCCTTCTGTGTGTGTCTGTTTGTCCTCCAAATTTCTTTGCCACCCCAAAACTGGTATATTTCTCTTGGTCCCAAAAGACCTTCTGTGTGAGTCTTTGTTCCACGTCAGCCCCCTGTGTGCCTCTCTGTGCCCCCAGCTCCCCTGTGTGTCTCTATGTGCCCTGTCCTTCTGTGCACTTTTTCCCCCTCTTCTCCTATGACCTCCGGGCCTTCCTGTGAAAACTTTAGCCCCTTCCTTCTTGTGCCCTTGGGGCCCTTCTGTGCACTCTTTATCCCCCTCCCCTCCTGTGCTCTCTTTTACTCATCTCACCTGCTGTGCCCTTCATTTGCCCCTTCTTTTGCCCTACTGTGAACTCTTTTGCCCACCTCTTCTCCTGTGCCTTTCCTTTGCCCACCTTCACTCCTATGCTCTTCTTTAACCCCACTCCTCTCTACTCCTGTGCCCTTATTTTGACCCCCC